GCTTCAGCAGCAGACAGATGACCCCTCCCCGGGTTTCCTAACAACGTGCCACGGGGATGACACACACAATCCCCTCCTTGGATTAAAGAGAGTTCATCCTGAGGAAATTGTAGGATAGAGCCACGTGTGCCACCCTGGATGACGTCCACACTCTTGACGAACGGTAAGTGGCAACGAAGAAAGCTCCGCGTGTCGATCAATTAGAGAGACCAACACGTGTCATGACTCAAGCAAGCGGGAGCTTGCTTAAGATTGGAACCCCCTGGGCGTCACATATGTGATGAACCAATTTCTGTTCCGCGCGATTTTCTGCGCGATGATAATGAGGGGTCCTAAGATGGGAAGGCTGGGCCAATTACGGGAGATCGGGATCGAAGGGAAATTGCATCGGTGTCCTCGCTTCTTCGTCTTTCCTTTTTCGTCGCTTCTTTTCGAATGGCTGGGTTCAGGGCCGGGCAAGTCCCGAGATAGCCGATTGAGTGGCTGTCGCGCCGACAAAGGTGCGAATAATAATGTTTGACGTCGCTTCTTTCTTGTTCTGATGTCGGGTTTTAGGTGCGGAGGTCGCACGGGAATTTTGCTTCGTTCTTTTTGAATTTTCTTTTTGAATCTTGTCGAGCCTTGATGACTCTCGGAATTTTGGACTTTCGTTTCGGAATTTGCGTTTTATTGAAGTTCTTTTGCATTAGCTAGGAATTTAGGAATTTAGGATTTCTTTTGCCGCGCAACGCCTTCTGCTTGCGCGCTCCTTTTTGCGACTGCAACGGAGCTCTGATTAATCGGCGCCCTTAATCTTGCAAGTAACTGTAATTTTGGGCGGGCGCTATTGTAACCGTATCCCTCTTCTTGAGCTTCGTCTTTCCCGCTCTCTTTTTCCCTTTTTGCTGTGCCTAGTTAGCCTGCGGCCTGCATGCTTGGATCGATGCGTGGAGAGTGGCTACGTCCCCCACGCCGTGGTCTGGCCATATAGAACGTAGGCGGTCCCTCTCCTAATCTCCTTTCTAAGTCCTCACAATTCCTTGTTTTTCACGAATGCATGCATGGCTACAAATTCCGACTGCGCGATTAGATAGCTCTCTTAACCAACGGTTGGAAGCTCGGGGTAGCGCGATCAGTGAGGGTCGGCTCACGAGCGAAGTAAGAGGTGAGTTGAAGTGGGAGTCGGGCGACCCGACGAGCTGGTGCCGTATGCGTGGGGTTGACGCGTGGGGCTACGACGGTTTGTAGCCCCGGGGCGAACTTGACGGGTGCAGGAGGACTAAGCGGGGTGACGACTTCGTGGGTTGGTGCGTGACGACGGACTGTCCACATCGGAGAGAGAGAGAGAGAGAGGAAGAAAGAGCTGAGGATGATGGACGTGGATTTGCAATTTTCTTTGTCTTGTCTCCCTCTTTACTTTTGTATATAAATTTTGATCTCGGCTCAGGGCGACTCGCCCGTTTTCTTTTGTTTTCGGAATCCTTGTCTCGGTTTCAGCCCACACTTGTTTTGCGATTAATCTTGATCCTAGCTATGGCGTGTCTTGTCAAATGAATGGATGAATGAATGATATAATTGTTGTTTTTCTTGACTGATTATCGTCTTTGTTTGCCATTTTGATACGCCATGGTAGAAATTCTGTATAATGACACCTTGCATGCTCGAGAATGATTGCTTGCGGATCACTGAGTGATTAGATGATTGGGTAGTTGTCCATGTCATGTGGTGATTTTGCATGAGGAATCAGACTCTCATTTTTCCAGAAGCAAGCGAATACCAAGCAAGGCTACGTGTAAGTGCGATCTGATCTGCGCAGCCTACAAGTACCCACACGCGCCGATTCGCGACCGTTGACGAACCTGACGCCTCCGGTAGGCGGGGAAAATTTTCCTCCTTCCATGCACCAACTGATAGGAATTTCCAATATCATATCGGGAAATCCCCTTGTCAGATTGATACGTGCGAAAGGCTTCAACTACGTTGCGATGACAAGATGCCGAGCTCATGGGACTCAAAGTACTTCGAACCTTGGGTGAGAGAAGAACTTAGGCAGAGACGACCAGAATTCCCCTGCCTAACCGAGAACCGATTGTGCCCCAGGGAATTTCGCTGTGCCGTAACCAGCGATCTGAGGTGCCCCGATTACCCAACTACGTATAACACGCAATATTTCATATCCCCCGGCTTCGTCATTATCACTACCAACTTCCCTCCCTTATGTCTTCTCCTCCCGTATCACCAGCTCACTGTGGTACCGTGGAATTCCATCGCCCCGTATTGGCCCCGCACGCCGTGCAGAAACTGCAGACGACGCAGCCACCACTGATCCCCGGGACTACGGAGCGTAATTACAACACATGACGGCAGATGCCACGCGTCTGCCCCCGAAGGTCCGACTTCTAAGAACCGCAGCCCTCACGAGCCTCCCCCGAACCGCCGTCACCAACAGACGGATCGGACGGCCTCTGACGCACCGCGCATACCATCTGCCTTATGCTGCACGACATCGACTGCCATCAGACCGAAAGTAACCCGCCCCTTAGTCCTATTGCATCTATGCCCCTGAACCCTTGTCACAAGAGATCTCAGTTTCGACCTGGGACTCCACCCCCACTTTCCCAAAAATCCTTGGCACACCCCTTTTTGCACTTCCAGGCCCACATCCCACTCCGATCAGGAAGTCGCGCCGGGCGTGAGGTTGGGCGTCACAGCGACGTCCCACTCTCAAAAGTCTGAGAGTCTAGAGTAGTGCAGCGAGGCCCTAGGTTAGATCTTTGGCAATGAACTTAGGCTTGGAATAGGTTAGAGTGGGAGGTTTTTCTTTCCTTTTGATTTCTGGCTGGGAGGTTTTTCCTTCTGTTAGGTGATTTCTGTTTGTTTAGAATTTGTGACCTTGTGGTTCCCTTCTTTTTCTCTCCTGCCCGTAGGGGTTGGGCCTATCAGGAGTTTGCCCACTTTTTTTTTTTTTTTTTTTTTAATATCAAATGGGGCCCAGTGCCCAAGGCTCATATTATAATAATTGTTGTCCTTGAGGCCGGGGTCCTCACAGTCTACCCGGTGTCATGCCATAATCTTCTGGTAGCATTACCCAGTGTTCGCTTTTTACAGGACCCAGTGGGACCCGCTAACACAACAAGACTCAATTCCTATTAGCCATCAATCCAGGCAGGAAACCACTCAGAGAATTTATCCATTATTAAAGAAGCTCCTAGCACGCTAAACTAAGCTATCTACCAGACTCACTGGGACCCGAATCTTCAACACTGCCTATCTCCTCCACCCAAAGAAGATACACTGAGAGAGCAAGACTACAGGGACGTCAAGACACAACTATTCAAAACAAGAACTCAACTCAATAGCCAAGCCCCCAACCTAAATCCTTCAAAACTCCCAGGGGCAAAGCGAACTCCAACCAGTTTGGCCACTTTCGCTTCCTGGATCAAATACCCAACGCCCACAACAGAACTACGGTAGGCAATGGCCTGAGTAAGGGCCTCGCTGCACTACTCTTGAAAGGTGCAAAACGAGAGTGAATCTTCCGCTAGAACATGGAAAGATACAGCGACATGATTTTTGTCTTTTGTGCATTTCGAGAGTAGTGCAGGGAGGCCCTAATTGTTTTTTTTTCCCGGGTTGTTTGTGGAGGGATTCCCGGCCTCCCCTTTCGGACTGGAATAATGAGCACGAGAAGAACCGAATCAGCATAAAAGGGAAGAAATAGAGAAAAAAAAGAAACAAGAAAAAAGCAGCTCTCCTCATAGAAAGCAGTAATTTCCCCCCCCCCGAAAAAAAGAAGGCAGTAAATAATCAACAACGGTCTGGTCCTCATGCGAGGTGAGGGCGTACTCACACGACTACGTAGGACTTTGTCTACTCAATTCTAGATGTTATCGCGGTCCGATTCATCCAGATTGGGCGTAATTGCGGTCAGATACATTTACGAAAGCACTAGTGGTGTGACTATTCCCTGAGAGGGGAAAAAGGAAGGAAGGAAGGCGGGCACGAATGAATGGCCGACAAGGATTCCACTGCAGCGGATGAAAAAGAAGGAAAAAAAGAAAAAGAAAGAAGAAATTGGATGAAAAAGACAAAGGAAGGAAAACGAGTGGCTGGTAGTAGAGTAGCTGAATTCTGTTAGGAAAAAAAATAAAAAAAATAGAGGACCCAATTCCACTGCAACCTCTCATAAGGGCCTGACGCTGCCGACCGCACTCCCCGGTGACAAGAATCTCCCGCCCCCGACCGCATTTCGGTCACAGGAGGTCCCGACCGCATTAACGGAACGAAGCCTGAACCTGAACCCCCCCTTGGATTGGCCAATCGGGCCTAAGCCTCACCGGTCACCAATTGTCAAAAGGCTAAAAGCAAAAAAAAAAAAAAAAAAAGCTAAAAGCCATGTGTTCACATTCTGGCGGAAGATACACGTACCATTTTGCACACATTTTATTTATGTTTTGTCACAGAGATGCGCACGAGCATATCAATCGTGACTGTCTGCACCTCTTGACAAACACGTCCAGATTCGCGCGTTGAATCCAATCCTCTTTGCTACGTATTGATACGTGGCCCTGGTGGTCCCCTTCTGCTACCGTAGTAGAAATTGTCAGAATCCTCTCTCTCTCTCTCTCCTCTCTCTCTCTCTCTCTCTGTGAGTGTGCGCCCGATTCTGTCCCTAACCATCGCCTGTCAACTGCCGCCTGGGAGGGAGGAGGGAGAGAGGGTTCAATACAGGGGCTCGCTCCACTACTCACCGAGTGTACAAACAAAATGAGAATGAATCTCTCGCTAGAACATGGGAATATGCACCTCCATATTTTTCGTCCTTCTGTGCATGCATGCAGCGAGTAGTGGAGCGCGGCCCACAGTGATGCTACTTGGAAAAAAAAAAAAATCACTTGAACTGGTACACAAGCAAATGAGGAGGGGACTTCAATATTTCACGAACGGTGTCCCGGCCGCGCAAGGAAACAACAAAAGGATGGTCAAGAGCCCCATCATCGTGTCGGTGTTGAGGACCGGCAGCGAAGGGAAGGAATCCCTTCGCTCATCCCGTGCCGCGGTTTCCAACTCCCTCGCCTCTGCGACCCACAGCTCAGCTCAGGGCGTTTGCGCTAGTCTCTGCTCTTTATCAATTACTGCGGTCCATCGGCGAACGTATGAACGAAGTGGACTGCCTGCCCCCCACCATCGCTGTCTGATTGAGGCTAATGTCTTGTCGTTTTCTGTCCCCTTACGGGTCGTCTTCTTGGCAGTGAAGGTATTCGTCCAAACTCACTGATTGATTGATTGATTGATTGATTGAGTGAGTGAGTGATGACTCAGCACGTGCTAAAGTTGTAATCGGCAATTCCTGTGATTTGCTGTCCGGTGTGAACGACGCCGTCGTCTTTCTGCGCTGCGCGGGCTACATCTGGACCGATTAGTCGGTGGAGCGCTGTGCTTGCGCTCCTCCCCCCCTCCCCCCCGCCGTCTTCCTCCCCTCTTTAATTCACGGAAGCTGTACGATTTCTACGTGTGCTTACTATTACGTGGGCTGTCGGTCTGTGGTTGCTCGTCTTCTGGGCTGTCGTTCTGTGGTTGGTCGTCTTCTGCAGTTGCCCTGGCATTGGCGATGGTCTTTTTCGTACAAGGCCTTACATCCGTAAGGGAGACTGTGTGAGTCTCGTACGTCTGAGCTCCGCGTTGCCTACCTCCAGATAGTAACAGCAAGAGGAGGAGGAGGAGGAGGAGGAGGAGGAGGAGGAGGAGTAGGAGGAGGAAGAGGAGGAAAGGAGAAGAGGTGGTTTCGCTCTTCGTCAGTCTCTGCTGCGTCCATTGTAAGAGATTGGTCGTCTTCGGATCGGTCAGTGATGTTTCCTGACTCCGTCGCACTTGCGTCGTCATCGGAGGTCGGCTCTGCTTGCCTGAGGCTAGCAAAAGCCGGAGGGGAACGAGGAGGAGGAGGAGGAGGAGGAGGAGGAGGAGGAGGAGGGGAGGAGTTGCTCTGCCGGCGATCTTCTGTTCATAATCATCGTGGATATAGAGTTATCTTGGTGCGGAAAGGGAGGACCTACAGAGGTCAGCGTCGAGGATGGATTAACGGCGAGGAGACGACGTTAGAACGTGGGCTCCTCGCGGGACACGTGTCACGATCTCAGGGACTCCAGCTCCAGACTGTAAGCTCCACCGGTCACTGCAGTCGGCGGAAAAGACTTGGCGCGTTTTCGTCGCCGTCGTCGGGCCCGAGAGCAGAGATGGATGCCGACACGCATGTGAACGAGTCCGCTCCTGCAACAGGTGCACCGATCCTGGACGACGTGCCTCATCTATCCAATTGGTTGCCAAATCTGCCGGTTGGTCCTCTGAAATACCCGCTTGCCCACCCTATCATCCTAACTCTTACTCCCTTGGCACTCTCTCCTCCGCCGTTCTCCCTCCCCCTCCTTCCCCC